ATGCCAGATCCTGCACCTGCAGATGACAGATGAAATAATGACATGTCTGTGAAGCAAGATAGCTGGATGTGAGAAGTTTACAAACCTATGCTTACCAACAACTTGTTCCAGATTTATTCCTGACATGACTGACACATTGGATCCACATTGGATCGCCTATTAAAAGAATGCTACATAGTCCTGGGGGAAAAGAGAAAGAGAGGTGTTTTCTCTAGTCTAAAACTTACTTTAATCAGAATATGTGCTTATTCACTTTGACTCTTACTGTTGCACTGACACACAGACTTCCAGATGCAACAGAGCAACCTACTGGGTATGTATCTCGCCCACTCACACCTGCCAATGGAAACTTTTCGTAACTGGGTGGGGAAAGCCTCAGGCCTCAGAAATTTGCAGAAATGTCACAAATATATCCTGCAATAAAAGACAAGCGGAAGTAGAAACGATGACAGTTGACTTGTGATGATTCTTGTACAAAAAGAATAGTAAATATGAATTAGTTATGGTCTGCAATATTCTCTTTAAAAGGCCAGATGCTTATCATTTCAGCTCATTGCGGTCTTAAGAAGCACAGGCTCTATTCATTCAGCTGGAACAAGTTCGACATCCAACGCCTCGAGGAAAATGACTATAGAGCAATAGGTTCTGCCTGGAAAACACACACACACACACACACACACACACACACGCCGCCCCCTGCGTGACGTTGCTTGTCACTATTTACACTTATTTCGACGCTTTCAGCAAAATAATCAAGTTATAGACCAACGGTTATGGCCACCCATCAATAACGACCAAACGTCAGGACCGATGGATTCGAACCACGCACATCCGACATGTTCCAGCCAGCATGTCATACAGCCCGTACCATGACAAGCAGCCGAGGTGTATCTGTGAGAACAGTTCGACGACGTCTACGCGACTAAGGCATCCGTGCCAGACGCCCAGCCTCAAGGCCACTTCAGACGCCAGAACATTGACGTCAACAGACAGTGGACACACCTGCCATAGGGACTATGTGAGTGGAGAAGAGTTCTCTTCTTCGATGATTCACGTTTCTTTTCTCCCTTGATGACACCGCAGGACAGTGACTTTGCGCCGCTTTTAGCAATATTCCAGCAATATCACGGCAGGGTACACCAGAAATGGGCTTCACTGCTCGCCATTAAACAATCTGAGGTAAAATTTGTTTTTGACTTTAGAGAGCCATACCAACATTGAAAACACATGTACACAACAATGTTTGAATCCCGTAAAGGTTTCCACAGTTCCCTATTGTCTCCCAAAGTGCAATTCACTTTTGATGCCTCTGACATCAACAATAGAGTTTAGTGCTATTAGCTGGAGGTGATTGTCAGCGCGCCAAGTAACACAATAGTAACATCATGTCAGTAATGTTGTTTGATGTCTCCAAACACTCCGACCAAAGCAGCATTGTCCACGGACAGTGATCCGTGCAATCATTTGTATACAGAATGAAAGTACAAGGGGAAATGACATAACCTTGTGGAACTCCAGTGTTTGTTTACACAGCATGTTTTGTATATACAAAACGTGGCCTGTCGATAAAAAAAGGTAATGAAAATAACAAAGTTTATAATAACAGATTTCTGTTTACACTGAGGGATAAAATGGGTTTTTTTCCAGTACAATGTGAGGCTGCAAATAAATATGATGATAATGATAATAAATTTAAATATAGATTTCTGTTGACGTTCCGGGGTAAAAGGTTTATTTTCAGTAACCAAGTACGGTGGCTGATACTATTTGGAACAAAAATTAGTACAATCTGTTTTAATACATACACTTCTTTGTCACAGATATTTGGCAGGTTGGTTGGTTGGTTTGAAAATAGAAACGCATAAGTGATTTTTGGACACATGTAGCTGCGGCAAAACAATACAAATATACTATTTCTGTCCAAAACGTCATCTTTGTGCGATTGTAAACAGCTTCAGCGCCAAAACGGGGCAATTTAAACTGTTTTCGTTGTTTTAGAAATGTTTGAAGAAATATTCTCCAAAAGGTCACCAAGATCACATTCAAAGAAAAATACACGTGTAAGTAAGCGGAAAAGCATGCGTTATCGATCACTCTAAAAAGGCAAACGTTGTGTTTAATCTTGTCATTCGTGTTTGCCTGGAAAACAGGAAATCATCACGCCGAGACTGTGTACCAATCGAAACATGGCCATAGGCCGCCTTGAAGCTGGTGAGTCGCAGTCTGCAGTTGCCTGACATTTCAACGTTCATCAGAGTACCATATCTCGCCTTTGGGATCGTTTCCTGCAGACCAATTCCGCCCAAGACGAGAAGCGGCCGTCCAAGAGTTACCACCCAAGCCCAGGACCGATACATCCGGGTTACTCACTTGCGTCATCGTCTTGCCACTGCTGCACAACGCATCCCTGGTTTGAGAAGAATTTCCGACCACACCGAGAAATGAACGTTTTGCCGCTTAGGTCGACAGATTCGATGGAGGGAGTTTCATGGTGTGGGGTGCGATATCCAGCAGACAAAGATCTGATTTAGTGGTGGTTCATGGTAATTTGACGGTACATCAACAAAGTCCCTGTACGTCACATGGTTCCGGATTATGGATCGACAGACGACGTTGTTCCAACTTCACATACAGCACGCGTCATGGTCCGGTTCCTTGCCAGTTCTAACGCCAATGTCTTGCCATGGCCTTCCCGATCACCAGATCTAAATCCGATAGAACACCTATGGGATGAACTCGATCGACGTGTTCGTCGACGTCAAAACACGCATCAGACACTTCCACAACTGGCGCATTGCATTCCAGCAAACTGCCTTTTACCTAATGCAGGAAACTCTTCTAAAAATGGCTTATACGGTTTGTTTGTTGTTGTTTTTTGTTTTGTTTTGTTGTTTGTTTGTTTGTTTTTGAAGAGAATATATGCGATCACAATGCGATCACATAAGTCACATGTTAAAAATAAAAATCCTCTGCTCACATCTACTGGATGTCTAACTCTGCACAGTGGTGGTTAACGACCGCTGTCAATACGTGTGCGAGTGTCACGGGACACCGGAAATAGGCTTCGCACATTGTACCCGTGTGGGGAATCGAACCCGGGTCTGGGTCTGATAACCCCGTTGTCAGATACGAATCTTAAAACATTTTCCGGCAAAGAGTTAAAACATTGTCCGGCAAAGAGTTAAACAACACCACTGGCGCTTCTTAGATCATTTTTACTTCAAAATATCCGTCGTTGTGGTCGAGATATAATCAATAACATTTGGTTGTAACAATGTAACAACATCAAAAGACATTAATATCACGAATACGGTGAAAACACACAATAATGTAACCATAATATTTAACATACACAAAGCAGATCAGAGGGTCATTATCTTGAAAGGACCGAAAGGGATTCTGTAAATCTGAATGTATAAGTCAAATATTAGTATTTGCAGCTTAATTCAAATAGAAACCCCAGTTTCCCTTTCTGTGAGTCTGTTTGAAAGGTGCTTTGGTTGAAAACAGTGAGATCTGTTTTCGCGATTCTCAAGTATAATGGCAGTGGCGGACACCAAGAATGGACTTCACGCGTGTAGACATATGGAGAATTGAAGTCGGTCCTGACACGTGAACGCTATGACCACTACGTTTTAAAGTCAGTGAGTGAGTTTAGTTTTACGCCGCTTTTAGCAGTATTCCAGTAACATCACGGCGTGGGACACCAGAAATGGGCTTTACTAATTGTACCCATGTGGGAATCGAACCCGGATGCTCGGTATGGCAAGCGAACGCTTTAACCACTTGGCTACCCCACCGCTCCACCTTTTATAGATGGATGTAACTAGCAAATGGTAATTAAGAACTTCAATACCAGGCAATCGCTAGTCTCGATTAACCGCCGAATCAGATGGAAGACAAAATGACGGTGACATATATATATGCATCGATCACTCAAAATCAGTGATCTTATTTGTTCTTAACTGAACCACACTGTAATAGATGACAGTTCTGTATAATCGGTTTCAGCAGTTTCTTTTGCTTTCTGGTTTCAGACCGTGTCCATTAGTGTCTATGACCAACTATCCAGCATCGCTGGTATCTTACATTGTCACAATGAGATCAATGTCATCCGACGATATGGCTGAAATATTGCCGATGTGACGTTAAATATTAACTCACTCACTCATACAATGTCATACGTACATGGACGGAAGTTCGGGATGTATATAAATAAAGAAGGAATAGTGCAAACCTTTTTCAGATGGAGTGAGTGAGTATGGTTTTACGCCGCTTATAGCAATATTCCAGCAATACCACGGCGGGTACACCAGATATGGGCCTCACAGGTTGTACCCATGTGTGAATCGAACCCGGGTCTTCAGCGTGACGAGCAGACGCTTTAAGGCTACCCCACCGCAATATTTTCAGATGGAAACATACACTGACGATCAAAAGAAAGTATACACCGCTGTTTGATAGTGATTTTATATGGAGCAAAACAGACATGGTTATTCGAGTGCAGTGAATTTGAAACGGGAATCGTGGTTCTTATCTGGGTGTCTATCCACAAAGCGTTCGTAGCGATACGCCTATGATAAATTGTAGAATTACGACAGGTCGTAACGTTACGTACACCATGTGGATCGGGGCCTGGAACCTTAACTTTGCAGTGTTTCGGTGTCTGTTTTCGGCAAAGTGACGTTTTGTTTAAGTTTGTATTATTTTGGTCTTCAAGTGTATACTTCCTCTTCCCGGTAAAACAAAAACTGTTTAAAAGTTAACTCTAGATTTCTGTGTACTAGTGACTCAAGCTACTTTTTCGTGGAATTAATTGTATCTACCAAGCATGCTTCTGTTGACCACATATTATCTTCTTTGATAACGGATAGTTTGTTGTTTAACGCCAAACTCAGCAATATTACAGCTATAAAGCGGCGGTCTGTATATAATCGAGGCTGGACCAGACAATCCAGTGATTAACAGCATGAGCATCAATCTATGTAAGTGGGATACGATGACATGTGTCAGCCAAGTCCCGTTAGTCGCCTCTTAGGCATGAGCATCGATTTACGCAACTGGGATATGATGACCTTTGATAACGGCGTGTTCAGGCATGATATGTATCCGTTTCGAGTTATTGTATCATATGTATCATCGTGTATCCAGAGCTTATTATACAGATAAGTATCTGTCTCGGGAAAGTGAAGATTACCAGGCCCACAAGTCAGCACTCGGACTCGTCAACAAGGGACGGTGCCAGTGCGCTACTAATCAGTTTCTGTTTCTGTGTGGTCATCACGATGTCCTTTCCACTGACCAGCTTCACCTTCACCGACAGTTCATCTGAGAACGGATGAACACTAAACATCCTATAAAGCGTCTGTTTGAACACAGCATCAGTTTTGTACAGAAGGACGTTTCTACTCAGGTCCACAAAGGCTATCCTGCCTCTTTGAACATCCAGCACAATGCCAAAGCTAAGGGTGGCACTTGTTCCTGGAGATCGAGACATAATGTCCTTGAAGGTCACAAGGTTCCCTCTGATCCATATCTGAGACGAAATCACCCGTTTACAGTCTGCCACCCGAATACACCACACACCCGTCTGGCGGTAAAGAGACATATTGTCCGTCGAATCCTCTTCCGCTACGCCAATCTCCAGGCACGTCTTCCATTTCCACAACTTATCAAGGTCCATGATGTCTACCTGGGCTCCGACCTCCCAGTACTGGGGTGGGGAGGGGGGCGTGGCAGTATTCCTGGCAAGGGTGATGAAAGGTGTTGCACATGTCCCAAAACACTTCTGATATTTCTTTTGTCCCTGATGACCGGGGTCCGTGGGCGAACAGTTCATCAGTTGACCGTCCTGTGTGATGTGGCAACATTCGGTGTTGACCCTGCTCGTGTCCAGCGATTGGTGGGGACCTGAATACAGACCATGAGTGAGTGAGTGAGTATGGTTTAACGCCGCTTTTAGCAATATTCCAGCAATATCAAGGCGGGGGACACCAGAAATTGGCTTCACACATTGCACCCATGTGGGGAATCGAACCCGGGTCTTCGGCGTGACGAGCGAACGCTTTTACCACTAGGCTACCCCAACGCCCCACAGACAAAGTGAAAGCACGTTAGTTCCACCCTCTATATCTCGAGGGAATTGGTAAAGAAAAGCAAGGGCAGGTAATTTAAGAACCAGGGGTTAGTGTAGGTTTACCGAAATGTGAGCAGTGGATATACAGAGGATGTGTTTGTTAAGCTCTGTTAAACTGAGTTTGTTTAACACCGCACCCAGCAACATGCCAGGAACGAGTTTTCTTTTTTGGAACCGTTTTGTTTGTTTGTTTTTTAACGCGCTGTGGCGGCGGACGGTAAATAATCAAGTCTGGACAAGACAATTCAGTGATCAACATAATAAGCATCGCTCTATCTTTTCATTTGTAATTATAGCGCTAGGTGTAGTCATGTCCGCCTTGAAACGCTCATTATAGCGCTGGGTGTAGTGATGTCCGCCTTTACACACTCATTATAGCGCTGGGTGTAGTGATGTCCTCCTTTAAACGCTCATTATAGCGCTGGGTGTAGTGATGTCCTCCTTTAAACACTCATTATAGCGCTTATTGTAGTGATGCCCGCCCTTTAAACACTCATTATAGCTATATGTCAAATTGTATATGTCAAATGCAGGGGATTGTTGCTAAAGGGGTAGGTAACAAGTAGCCACACACACGTGCATTACGTCACATGTGCGCAATAATCTTGAACCCCATTCAGCACTCCCTTAGCACTATCATAGTCTTGTGGACCTTGTATCTCACATACTTTACCAGGGACAATGGGAGGAAACTCTACACAGCCTGCTTCAATGCCTTCATTCATAAGGTCACGAGTGTCCCCCTACCACCCCCATTCTCCAGCCCACCCCTAATATCCCAGTGAGTGAGTTTTAGATTTAGTCCGCTTTTAGCAATATTCCAACAATATTGCGGCGGGGAACACCAGAAATGGGCTTTACACATTGTACCCATGTCGGGAATCGAACCCGGGTATTCGGCGTGACGAGCGAACGCTTTAACCACTAGACTACCCCACCGCCCCTATTTTCCCAACCCCAGCAGTACACTCACATGTGATAGAGATGCTGGACATCCCCTGGACGTCGGTCAGAATGTACACCAGTCCCTCCTCTGTCTCCCCATCCGGATACACACCTGCAACATCAGAACTGAACTTCACAAACCATCCACTGTATCTGCACCTTGGCTGTATCATGCTGTATTCATAACACAGATAAGACCATAGGCCCATAGAACACGATCTGGAGTCTGTTGCTAATGTAAAACATTTCTAAAACTCACCACAAGGAATGTATACAGCAATAAATATCTAACAGTGTTCTTACAACAGTATTGAAATCCGAGTGAAACCTTTTTCAGAAACATTGTGTTATTTCATTCGTTAATACGCTGAGAGCTGTTGTAACACGGGTGTAGATGTGGCATACCCTCACCTGGAGTCTGGGATTCTTCATCCTTCAGCACCGCCACATCTACAACTAGAAGTCGTGTACTACATGTACCAGCAATACTGCTAAACCTGGTTACTTTGGACCCTAGTAATCCGGTAACCCCAGCTTTCCGAGTAATGCTGGGGACGCTTCTATACGTTAATATAGCAAGTAAAACTCGAGTATTTATCACAATTCGTGGAACAATTTAGAAATTATGTCATTGTTATTGGTCCCAGGTTTCAAATCACAATATAACAACCGGAAACAGCTGATTTGATTGTTGAAACACCTTGTCCAGAATCTAATAGTTGTAGAAAGATGCTCCTTTGTACGCCATTGTCGTTATATTTGCAGTAATGTTTACAACAGTGGGTAACAAAACAGATTTGTGGTTATTGCAATATCCAAAATGAGGGAATACATTTTGGGTAAAAAAAAAGAGGTGGATTTGAAAATTTAGGGGAAGCTTGAAAATGGGCGCTTTTCTATGTTAGACAATCACGTTTTTAATCACAATGAGCCATTTCACTTTTGGATTATTGCTGGAATAGTGCCTAAACCTCACTCCACAAACAGTTTGCATTCATACAAATACAGTGGAAATATACAAAACTATGTTTTCAGTGTCGAGCTAAGTTATCAGTAGATTTCTTATCGTGCTAAATTTAACATTTTAAGCCTCAAATATGGTCGTAATAAATTTAACATTCATCCAATGACAAAAATATTGTATTAGATGCATTAGATGTACCTGCATCTGGTGTCTGTGTGTCTACATCCGTCTTCACCACACCATCTGAAACCAACATTGTCATTACAGAGAATATATTCACTTATACAACAACCTCTGGACCGATTTAGATTGAAATAGACTGAAATAGACTGATGTTTCAGCTTTTGCTGTTTAGGCAGCGCCGTGCCCGTTAGTAAATTGTGTCAGAATCATGCCACAAAGTAAGGGCTTACATTGTACTCATATTCCGAATCGAACCCGGACCTTCGACAAGAAGAGAAAACCTTCCCCTACTGGGCCATCCACGAACTCCGAAAGTGACAAACTACTACATCTGGCGTCGCTTGTACATTTCCTCACACGTTACGCTCACGTGACTTATGACGGCAACTAATATGCAGCTCTAGGAGGATCTCAATTTCAAAATGTTCTCACGCTTCACAAACACAGACTCACAAACACCATCATAAATATCCCATATCGTATTGTAAGAAATGCTAAATGTTTCTCAGGATGACTGAATATTATGAGATTTTATGAGCGCATCCTTTGAGACACCGCTAAATACATGCACAAGGCAAGGAAACACGGGTCAACCCATTTTAGTTCCTTCATACTACCAAATCAGGCACTATTAAGAGGTACAGGAAGATTTAATTGTATGATAATGCTATAGGTATTCAGTATTATATGACTGTGGATAAAGAATTGGACAGCGTGTCTTCCACTACAACATATAACTCAATATGAAGCCGCCAAAACAAGAAGCCACTCGTTTTTATCGTGGCTAATAAATATACAAAGAAAAATTCGATAATAAAATTTATATTTTCGTTTGCCCTACAGTTGTTTTTAAATCATCCGTATGATCACCGTATGGACCGTATGAGAATGTGTTCAATCTGTTGACACCTCGTGAAATAATTATCAGTCCCACTTGCACAAAGCGATTTTAGTTCAGAGACGATCGTACCCCCCTTGTTTTAACATACACTAACGCTTCCTTAGGACTAAAATCGTTAAATGCAGACGGTTCCTGTGCTTTATTCAACAAAGCGATCTTAGCGCTAAGACAAGACCGAAACTTTCATACTTAAACTTAGACTAACGAAGGCCGTTGAACTAAGATCGCTTCGTGCAGCAGGCCCAAGGGTCCCGCTTCCCAAAGCGATCTTAGCGCAAATGTTCTACTACTCCTACTTCGTGCACGTAGGCCCTGGACAAGTATGGTTTCGCTTCAGTCACCTTTGGTTCTACTTCGCCTTAACGGCGCTTTCATCTTCTTCTTGATGTTGTTGAGTACGTTGGAGATCTGTCTGCCCTTCTCGGACCTCCCCAGCTTGTTTAGGCCAACCCTGCTGGACAGGGACCTCCAACTCCTCCTCATGTTGTAGCCGAAGCTGCTGCTGTTATCCTTGGGTTCGTCCGTCAACGACACCGACTCCAGCATCTGGGTCAACTCTTCTTCTTTCTACTCCAGAAAAGGATCAATGTCAATAATGCATTTTAAACATGGCATTGACAAACTATACATCGTGTATATTGTTGTAGGTGTTAACATTGTATTAAAGTGGGTATTATCTGAAAGTTTATTTCTCATTACTTCCATAAAACGCATATACAATTTGGAAAGCCATTAAAATCAACCTCAAAGACTTCAAAATCCAAAAACTCCAAGAACCAGTGGGTGAGTTTAGCTTTACGCCGCTTTTAGCACTATTCCAGCAATATCACTGCGGTGGACACCAGAAATCGGCTTTATACAATGTACCCATGTGGGAATTGAACCTGGGTCTTCGGCACGACGAGTAAACCTTTGACCGCTTTTTGAATGTTGCTAAAAGCTGCGTAAAACCATACTCACTCACTCACTCACTCACTCACTCACAAGCTCCTCGTGTCTCTGGTGTGGCATAAAAGGTTTAGGTTGCTCGCTCACAGCTCATACTATATTATTTTATCAGATCTTTGATGACGGATTGATCTGGTTATAATACCCATTTGTGACTGAAAATAACTGATTTCATTCTTCAGATTTGAATGAATCTACCAATATGAAGAGGTGTATGTTGGTTTGGTTTAAGGCCGCCATCAGCAGTAGCAAATAAATCCAAAACTATCAGCTTATTGTCAGAAGATTGAAATGGGTCTGTCAGGATCTTAGATTGCGGGGTGTTGATATATTCAAGGGTCTTAATATAGCCAAACTGAGATTCGAACCTACGATTAGTGGTTTCCAGCAAGACGTAAAGGAAACGCAACGCCGCACACAAATATTCGGCGCAGTGAATCCGTAACCCGTGTTCGCATGAACGTAAAGAGATTTACGATAACACCTTATCAAGGCGACATTTACACGTGAACATCCTCAAACAGAAAACCAGTGGACCAGTCAGTCAACAAAGGAACAATGATAACGACGACAGTATGTCTAGGTGATCACCCATCCATGAACTGTTTACACATCCTTAGTATGTTCTGGAGCATCACATTGTGAAGCACTCTCCTACCCAGAGTTCCATGCGGCAAGCCAGCATAGTACTTCCGCCACAGGCCAGAAAAATGTGACGATTCGTCACATCTTGCAATGTCCATTCAATATAATGTACAGATTTTTTACTCTTTTATTTTTGACGAGTCTACACATCTAACTAAACATCTTTAATAGAATGGTTTAGTTTCACTGAGAAAATATCCAAAAACATGTAACACTATTTCGATTTGCGCAGCGATCCTTTGTTTACATAGGTTGTACGGCTCCACGTGCAGTCATCGAAGCCGACGGAGAGCAAACGATGCAGCCAGTTTGATATCTAAATATGTACTGTCATAGACCTAACTGTCGCAGTTGTGGAAGAATATATATGTCACAATGTAAAACATGAAGAGAGCGCCGAAAAGCTTTCGTGAGTCCAGTCTCTTCTTATTATGAATATGCGCGTTTGATTACAAACAAGAGAAAAGTCCGGTCACGTGATATGCAAATTAGCCTGTGGCAAGCACTGTGCTTGGGGACTGCTCTGTTGCTGAATCCCCTAGTCAATGATGGAAAAGGCCAAGATGAGAAGCAATGCTGAAGAGTCGCCAGCCAAAAGGAAGAGGTATTCTATTTATAAAATATTAATTTTATGCATGATTTTCATGATTAAGCGAATTTTGAAGAATCGTACAATAAAAACACTAGCCACATTTTTGTCATTCGAGGATCAGCATTCCACTCGAATTTATTTCAGTTTATCACACATACATATCTGACGGTTTAAACACCCGAGTCAGGTTATCTTATGAATAGCACACGTTCTTCACAGCAGATGACGGTGGTGGGGTAGCCCAGTGGTTAAAACGTTAGCTTGGTATACATGGACATAGTGTGTGAATCCCTTTCTGGGGTCCCCCGCCGAGATATTGCTGGAACGTTGCTAAAGTGGCTCACTCTCTAAAGGCAGAACCTCGGCGCAAATTCTTGTAACATTATTCATACTAAATCTACAATACAACCTGTGTCTTGACTTACTTTATTTTACTGTTAGATACTATCACTGCACGTCAGCTCTAATTTACTAACTCCACCATAAAATTACTTTAAGTCTGATAAACATGTAATGTTTGGTAGAAGCACGTTTGCTGCTGATCGGCTGATGAAATTGAAAATCATGTTTTTTAAGTCAATTAAAAATGAATTCACGACAATAGGAAATTATGTGAGAATTGAAATATGTTCTTTTCACATATGAAAATGTTATCTCTCTTCTTACCCTACAGGGTCCGTGGGGTAAGGCCTAGTGGTTAACGCGTCCGCTCATCACGCTGGTGTTCGATTCCCCGCATGGGCACAATGTGTAAAACTAACTCATTCACTCACTCTTATCCCAACATACGTTGAAATAAAAAGTCGTCCGAGGTATCCACAGATCCCTTTACTCGAACAATTAAAAAACGCATTGACAAACTTATGACATAATGCTACATGACGCCGGAGTCAATGTGACATTCCATCTTATACTATCATACAGTTAACCTCTTAGTTTACTTATCACACACGAAGAACACACCCGCCTCACACAATGAGTGAGTGAGTGAGTGAGTTGGGTTTTATGCCGCTTTTAGCAATATTCCAGCAATATCAAGGCAGGTGACACCAAAAATGGGCTCCACTCATTGTACCCATGTGGGGAATCGAACCAATGCTATCGGCGTGACGAGCGAACGCTTTAACCACTAGACTACCCCATTACCCCCTGACACAGATACTAGTTGTACCAGTAACGCTGCACTGTGTATATACCACAATCTTGTCAACTCTGACATGAGCTGAACGTGTCATGGGGAGGTTGGACAGCTTAATGGTTAAAGCGTACGTTCCTCCCGCTAGAGATCAGGGTTACATTGCAAGGTGGGTACAATGTTTGAATCCCATTTCCGCCATGATTTTGCTGGAATATTGCTAAATGTGACGTAAAACCATACTGGCGAATGTTTCCTCCGTGTTTACCTGTTGAAGCAGGGAGATGTCCTCCTGAAGCTGCCTGTTCTGAAAGTCCTTATCCTCCAGCTCTGTGGAGACAAAGGTATATGTTTCCTGATCAAGGCCATTGGTAGACAGAACCTTTCAATTAGAGGAGCAGCTCAATTCTATGGAATACTGTCAAGAACATTGTTCGTGTTTTCACATTCTTGGCCTCTCGTATTGCAGCATGTTTGCTTATTTAGCTAGTTTTGAAAGATTCAGAACGCACTTTAAAATACTCCCAGGCAAAACTTTATGATTATGTCCATATGAGATTTAAATAATATATATATATTCGTCATGGTGATGATTATTATGATCGTAATAATTAAAAGCAAAACCTGTCAGAAAAATACCCAAATCACTAAACAAAAAAATTCCCTATGGTTCTGTAGCTCGCAACTAGACGTATTTCATGAATAACAAATTATTTCAAACAAAAACTAAAAAGGGTGATATCAATTTTTTAATTATTTTCTTAATGGAAAAACATGCGAAATCTGTTTTCAAATACTAGTAAGCAACATAAGAACAGAGTGGCAAGGATTACTAATTCCTCACAAGAAGATTATTGAGCCAGTTGTGCCCGCGTATATTCTTACGTTCTTCAAGACAGCGAATCTTTTCAAGGAGACTGGAATTTTGCTGGGTTTCCTGTAGGTACTTGAGTACCTGAAGCAGATAGAAGAATAACAAAAACATTATAAAATGTATTCTCTGAAATACAACGGATCCATGGTGATACATGTTATTTCGTCAAGAACCTTGTGGATTGTCCACAACTCGTTCAGGTCCAACTTACGACCAAATCCCTCAAGGGTTCGTGTTGAAACTATGATAACTGTCTAAAGAAAACATAGATAATGTCAGAACTATTGTCAACATGAAACTGCGCAGTGAAACAGTGTTCGTGTGAAATAGTGTGCGGACACACGTGGACATACAATGAAGTGTGGTATCACAAACACTATCGAATTATATCTGATTGGACATACAGCGAAGTGTGGTATCACAAAAACTATCGAATTATTTCTGGTTGGACAATCAGTGAAGTGTGGTATCACAAACACTATCGAATTATATCTGATTGGACATACAGTGAAGTGTGGTATCACAAACACTATCGGAACATATTGGCTATATCTGATTGGCTGGTTGGTTTGGTGGACATACAGTAAAGTATCACAAACACTATCGGAACATATTGGCTATATCTGATTGGCTGGTTGGTTTGGTGGACATACAGTAAAGTGTGGTATCACAAACACTATCGGAACCTATTGGCTATATCTGATTGGTTGGTTGGTTGGTTTGGTGGACATACAGTAAAGTGTGGTATCACAAACACTATCGGAACCTATTGGCTATATCTGATTGGCTGGTTGGTTTGGTGGACATACAGTAAAGTATCACAAACACTATCGGAACCTATTGGCTATATCTGATTGGTTGGTTGGTTTGGTGGACATACTGTGAAGTGTGGTATCACAAACACTATCGGAACCTTTTGGCTATATCTGATTGGTTGGTTGGTTGGTTTGGTTGGTGGACATACAGTAAAGTATCACAAACACTATCGGAACCTATTGGCTATATCTGATTGGTTGGTTGGTTTGGTGGACATACTGTGAAGTGTGGTATCACAAACACTATCGGAACCTTTTGGCTATATCTGATTGGCTGGTTGGTTTGGTGGACATACAGTGAAGTGTGGTATCACAAACACTATCGGAACCTATTGGCTATATCTGATTGGCTGGTTGGTTTGGTGGACATACAGTAAAGTATCACAAACACTATCGGAACCTATTGGCTATATCTGATTGGCTGGTTGGTTTGGTGGACATACAGAAAAGTATCACAAACACTATCGGAACCTATTGCCTATATCTGATTGGCTGGTTGGTTTGGTGGACATACTGTGAAGTGTGGTATCACAAACACTATCGGAACATATTGGCTATATCTGATTGGCTGGTTGGTTTGGTGGACATACAGTAAAGTATCACAAACACTATCGGAACCTATTGGCTATATCTGATTGGCTGGTTGGTTTGGTGGACATACAGAAAAGTATCACAAACACTATCGGAACCTATTGGCTATATCTGATTGGTTGGTTGGTTGGTTTGGTGGACATACAGTGAAGTGTGGTTTCACAAACACTATCGGAACATATTGGCTATATCTGATAGGCTGGTTGGTTTGGTTGACATACAGCGAAGTGTGGTATCACAAACACTATCGGAACCTTTTGGCTATATCTGATTGGCTTGTTGGTTGGTTTGGTGGACATACAGTGAAGTGTGGTTTCACAAACACTATCGGAACCTATTGGCTATATCTGATTGGCTGGTTGGTTGGTTTGGTGGACATACAGTGAAGTGTGGCTTCACAAACACTATCGGAACCTATTGGCTATATCTGATTGGCTGGTTGGTTTGGTTGGTTTGGTGGACATACAGTGAAGTGTGGTTTCACAAACACTATCGGAACATATTGGCTGTATCTGATTGGCTGGTTGGTTTGGTTGGACATACAGCGAAGTGTGGTATCACAAACACTATCGGAACCTTTTGGCTATATCTGATTGGCTTGTTGGTTGGTTTGGTGGACATACAGTGAAGTGTGGTTTCACAAACACTATCGGAACCTATTGGCTATATCTGATTGGCTGGTTGGTTGGTTTGGTGGACATACAGTGAAGTGTGGTTTCACAAACACTATCGGAACCTATTGGCTATATCTGATTGGCTGGTTGGTTGGTTTGGTGGACATACAGTGAAGTGTGGTTTCACAAACACTATCGGAACCTATTGGTTATATCTGATTGGCTGGTTGGTTTGGTGGACATACAGTAAAGTATCACAAACACTATCGGAACATATTGGCTATATCTGATTGGCTGGTTGGTTTGGTGGACATACAGTAAAGTGTGGTATCACAAACACTATCGGAACCTATTGGCTATATCTGATTGGTTGGTTGGTTGGTTTGGTGGACATACAGTGAAGTGTGGTTTCACAAACACTATCGGAACATATTGGCTATATCTGATTGGCTGGTTGGTTTGGTGGACATACAGTAAAGTATCACAAACACTATCGGAACCTATTGGCTATATCTGATTGTCTGGTTGGTTTGGTGGACATACAGTAAAGTGTGGTATCACAAACACTATCGGAACCTATTGGCTATATCTGATTGGCTGGTTGGTTTGGTGGACATACAGTAAAGTATCACAAACACTATCGGAACCTATTGGCTATATCTGATTGGTTGGTTGGTTTGGTGGACATACTGTGAAGTGTGGTATCACAAACACTATCGGAACCTTTTGGCTATATCTGATTGGTTGGTTGGTTGGTTGGTTTGGTGGACATACAGTAAAGTATCACAAACACTATCGGAACCTATTGGCTATATCTGATTGGTTGGTTGGTTTGGTGGACATACTGTGAAGTGTGGTATCACAAACACTATCGGAACCTTTTGGCTATATCTGATTGGCTGGTTGGTTTGGTGGACATACAGTGAAGTGTGGTATCACAAACACTATCGGAACCTATTGGCTATATCTGATTGGCTGGTTGGTTTGGTGGACATACAGTAAAGTATCACAAACACTATCGGAACCTATTGGCTATATCTGATTGGCTGGTTGGTTTGGTGGACATACAGAAAAGTATCACAAACACTATCGGAACCTATTGGCTATATCTGATTGGCTGGTTGGTTTGGTGGACATACTGTGAAGTGTGGTATCACAAACACTATCGGAACATATTGGCTATATCTGATTGGCTGGTTGGTTTGGTGGACATACAGTAAAGTATCACAAACACTATCGGAACCTATTGGCTATATCTGATTGGCTGGTTGGTTTGGTGGACATACAGAAAAGTATCACAAACACTATCGGAACCTATTGGCTATATCTGATTGGCTGGTTGGTTGGTTTGGTGGACATACAGTGAAGTGTGGTTTCACAAACACTATCGGAACCTATTGGCTATATCTGATTGGCTGGTTGGTTTGGTTGACATACAGCGAAGTGTGGTATCACAAACACTATCGGAACCTTTTGGCTATATCTGATTGGCTTGTTGGTTGGTTTGGTGGACATACAGTGAAGTGTGGTTTCACAAACACTATCGGAACCTATTGGCTATATCTGATTGGCTGGTTGGTTGGTTTGGTGGACATACAGTGAAGTGTGGTTTCACAAACACTATCGGAACCTATTGGCTATATCTGATTGGCTGGTTGGTTGGTTTGGTGGACATACAGTGAAGTGTGGTTTCACAAACACTATCGGAACATATTGGCTGTATCTGATTGGCTGGTTGGTTTGGTTGACATACAGCGAAGTGTGGTATCACAAACACTATCGGAACCTTTTGGCTATATCTGATTGGCTTGTTGGTTGGTTTGGTGGACATACAGTGAAGTGTGGTTTCACAAACACTATCGGAACCTATTGGCTATATCTGATTGGCTGGTTGGTTGGTTTGGTGGACATACAGTGAAGTGTGGTTTCACAAACACTATCGGAACCTATTGGCTATATCTGATTGGCTGGTTGGTTGGTTTGGTGGACATACAGTGAAGTGTGGTTTCACAAACACTATCGGAACCTATTGGTTATATCTGATTGGCTGGTTGGTTTGGTGGACATACAGTAAAGTATCACAAACACTATCGGAACATATTGGCTATATCTGATTGGCTGGTTGGTTTGGTGGACATACAGTAAAGTGTGGTATCACAAACACTATCGGAACCTATTGGCTATATCTGATTGGTTGGTTGGTTTGGTGGACATACAGTGAAGTGTGGTTTCACAAACACTATCGGAACCTATTGGCTATATCTGATTGGCTGGTTGGTTTTGGTTTGGTGGACATACAGTAAAGTATCACAAACACTATCGGAACCTATTGGCTATATCTGATTGGTTGGTTGGTTTGGTGGACATACAGTAAAGTGTGGTATCACAAACACTATCGGAACCTATTGGCTATATCTGATTGGCTGGTTGGTTTGGTGGACATACAGTGAAGTATCACAAACACTATCGGAACCTATTGGCTATATCTGATTGGCTGGTTGGTTTGGTGGACATACAGTGTGGTATCACAAACACTATCGGAACCTATTGGCTATATCTGATTGGTTTGGTTGGTTTGGTGGTGGACATACAGTAAAGTATCACAAACACTATCGGAACCTATTGGCTATATCTGATTGGCTGGTTGGTTTGGTGGACATACAGTAAAGTGTGGTATCACAAACACTATCGGAACCTATTGGCTATATCTGATTGGCTGGTTGGTTTGGTGGACATACAGTGAAGTGTGGTATCACAAACACTATCGGAACCTATTGGCTATATCTGATTGGCTGGTTGGTTTGGTGGACATACAGTAAAGTATCACAAACACTATCGGAACCTATTGGCTATATCTGATTGGCTGGTTGGTTTGGTGGACATATACAGTGTGGTATCACAAACACTATCGGAACCTATTGGCTATATCTGATTGGCTGGTTGGTTTGGTGGACATACAGTAAAGTATCACAAACACTATCGGAACCTATTGGCTATATCTGATTGGCTGGTTGGTTTGGTGGACATACAGTAAAGTGTGGTATCACAAACACTATCGGAA